AGTAAATTGAAAATTGTTTTCACTATTATATCCTATTTTTCTTGTAAACTCAAACTCAGTGGTATTCTAAAGTAATTAATTAAACTTAAATTAATTAATAACTTTAACAGTATGAAAACTACAAAAAATAGCATTTAAAATGAAAATAAAAAAAAAAGTAAAAATAACACATTTCAGAACAGAATTTCTTCACATTTTGTTTTGTAAATTTGCACTTTTTCTTGTTTTTTTTTAAATTATACTTCTGGTTCTGAAATGTCAAATATTCAACTAAAAAAAGTAGTGAATGTGTAAAGGTGTACTGTACATCTACTAATTTTTATAAGGTATTTAAACTAATTTTTATGTATTTTTAAACGCTGAATCCAAATATAAGGTCCATTTTTGTGGGCAAGCTCTAGTTTTTTTGCAATAACTAATTTATAAATTTTTTAAAAATCATGATTTTCATAGGCATTTTTATTCAATAGTTATAAAAAAAAGTAACCGTGTTTTTATTAAATCAAATATATAATATGATGGTTTTTTCAATTCGACATAAGTGCAAGCATAATCCTAACTCATTCTGTTATATATGTGGTTACTAACAAGGAGGTTTAATAAACAGGAAACGCTGTAGTATATACTTTATATAAAATGCAATCAAGCTAGTTTTGAAAGTTAGCCGCAATCTTTGTTAACCCAAAACATTGTTATATTTTGCGCAGAACTTTATATTTCAAGAGAAAACTTTGCTGAAAACAAAGCAAAATATAGATATAAATGATTAAATAATTTGCCAGTTGTTCCGAGGTTGTAATAAACTACAAAGAATTGTTTACTAACTGATTATCAGATTCACTTTATTCCAAAAAATTGGAATACTGAAGTAGCCATATTTTACACAGTACATATTTTACACAGTACAAGCCTTCCCAGGAAAGGTATGCAGTTTTTTGTCTCGAATGACCACAAAAAGTTTTTCAATTTAGAGAACGTGATCACAACCATTTGTGCAAGTTTTATTATATGCGTTGCTGAAAAATTGTTTTAAATTTAATAACTACATAAGAAATTAAAATAACTTAAATAGAAAACAATAATAATAGTTTAAATAATTTGTGTGTTGTTTTAATTTTTTTGTTTTCTTAGTGGTTATTATTATTGGCAACAAAATTCAGTAAGTCAAAGCAAAAAAAAAAAAAAAACGATTTTACGCGTTAAAAAGGATGACTTTCCCATATTTTATGTGTTATTTTTTTAAAAGGGGAAATAGAAAATATGTATCGTCATCTGTTTGTAAAATATATTTGTATAATTGTAAAATGTAACAAGTTTATATCAGAGTTAAATTATACGATCGCGATTTGCAAACTCTGGTAAAATAGGTCTTTAAAATTTTAGTTCATGCAAAGCTGTGTACTTTGTTTATAAGGAGCAAATTATTAAAAGTTTGCTAGCAAGAAAGTTACAAAAACAAAACAAAAACAATAAACTTACAACTACAAAAGTAATAACACTTTAGTCACTAACTGCATTATAAAAGTAATAAAACTATAATAGTGTTATTAAATTTATAAAGCACTTATTACTTTTAAAGTTTATTTATTGTTCAAACAACATTATTAATTCCAAACATTTATTAAAGTAGAAAGCATCTAGAAAAAATAAAGCGGATATTTGAATATTATTAAAAATTTCAGGAACTTTCACATATCACTTAAACAACGTTATAAAAAAGTACTTAATAAAAAGTATAGCATTATGAAAAACGTTACGTAAAAACGTGCATTAATTTTAAAATCAACCAATAAAAAAATTTTATTGGTTAATTTTAAAATTAACGCGCATTTTTACAGTCCATTAGTAACGTTTTTCATAAATGCTAAACGATATATTTTTATAAAGTTGTTTGTCATATTTTTATAAGTTATTTAAGTTTTAATATTATTTGAACATCCACTTTATTCTTCTAGATATTTTTCTACTTCAATTAAAATTTGGGAATACTAATGTTGCTTGAACAAAGAATGAATTTTAAAAGTTATAAGTGCGTTATAAAAGTAATAACACTATCATAGTGTTATTACTTTTGTAATGCAGTTAGTGACTAGAGTGTTATTACTTTTGTAATTGTAAGTTTATTGTTTTGTTTAAATATTACATTAAAATTATACAAATAAATTTTACATTGCACACATTGCAATTTATATTTTTGCTATCCTCCTGAAAAAAAAAATAAGAAAAGGAAAATCATTCTTTTTATTGTAGACTTCAAACTGTTTTTTTTTTGCTTACAAAACAAAAATAAAAACAGTCAGGGTCTTTGAGAGGGAGGGACAAAGGGGGCATATAGACCTGGACGCCAAGCTTAAAGGGGTGCCTGGCAACCCCTTAGGTTTTTTTTTTTTTTTAAATTTAAGATTGAAACTTTAGTATTTGGCAGAAAAATGCTCATAAAAAATAATTTAATATTAAATTCTAATAATATAAGTAGCTAACCATTTTTACAAAAAAAAAAAAAAAGATTTAATTGTTGCTGAATTAAACGGAACCATATTTAAAAAAGTTACAAAAGATACGTTAAAAAAGTTGAAGCAAACAAACCATTTGTTAACAATTTCACAATAAAAGCACTAATTTTTCAAGTAGTATTTGACTGTTAAAGCAAAAGAGATAATCATAGCATCAGATTTTTTTAGGCAAATAAACAACTCTACTAGAACATGGTCAGTGATCAAATATTTAAGTTTTTGCATCTGGTTTAAAGTAGATGTAATGCCAAATTGAAACCCAATAGGAAAAAAACAATTTCTTGCTCAAATTGTCAGTGGAAATATTGAAATTTCAGTTTGATGCATTTCTGAAACCTGCTTTGAGACTTTTAGTTTATGGTGAGGATAGGTGTTGACCTTGGTTAAATAAGTATTTATTTAAATAAATTGATAAATAAATAATAAGTTCTACTTTTTTATAGTTGATAGTTAAAGATTAAACAAGTTGGTTGAAAATTTAAAAAGGATTTTGAAATCTTTAAATATATTTTATATATATTGGTATCGCTCTTGCCTAAGAAGCATGAGATCGTTGGTTCAAAGCTATCTATGGCTTCAAACCTATCTCTGGCTTTGAAGCCTTCTATAAGTACCTTGTTCTTTTATCTAATTATTCTACAAAAAATTTGAGTTTTTTGAGTAAAACTTCCGACCTGTATAAATGCAGAAATATGATATTGAAATTTTTGTTTATAAACTAATTATAAATTACAGTACATTTTAGGTTCTAAAAAATGAGTCTAAAGAATTCAACGGGGTTAAAGCCATGTTAAAGCTACTAAAAAAGTAGAAGAAGCAAAAAACAGACAGAATTTAGAGATAAGGGATTTATAATCATAACGCAGACCAAAAGAAATGTCTATTTTCCAAACACTCAATTAAGCCTTTCAGTAATTTAACTATTTGTTGTATCATACTTTTTTCTTCAAACAACCTCTCATAAAATCTTCGTTGTTTTTAGTACCTTTTTTCCATAAGGATCCCTAAAATAAAAGCCATGATTTCTAGTCAGCCTGAGGACCAAGTGGAACCAATAATCCATCTGCCTCATTTAAGATCACCCAATATTTGTGAGCACCAAATATGTGTAATTCGAAAGACTGTAGATTAGTGAGGGACTCAAACAATTTATCTAAAGCTGAGCTAAATGAATTTCAGGGATCAGGGAAGAATATGATGCCTAACCTGACATTAAATTTTTCTAATAAAGAAAAAGTAGAGAGATTTTTTGGTTGGAGCTCAACCATCAAGGTATCTTTTGGGAAATCAATATTCAAAAGCAGGGAAGCATCCCTTCTTTGTTGGAACGGAGCTAGGGATCAATGAAGAAACTCATAGATTGTGTGAAGCAGCATCAATCCAGCTCATTGCACGAAAAATTAAGAGATTGATAGAGAGCTCCAGAAGCAAATTAAGTCTGAGACAGCTAAATGACAATTCTTCCAGGAATTTTAGATCTGAATCTTTTCTTAGCTTCTAGAAGTTTTTATTTGGTAACTTATTATAAAGTTCTCTTGATATAAATCTTAATTATTTATATAACTATTGTGATATATATTTGTATATATTAGTTGAATTATAACTAATATATACAAATATGTTTGCAGATGAAACAACACAGGTGACTGGGAAAGAAATTGGAAACTTTCTTGCCGGTATGAAACATTAGTCTCTACAACTCTGTCCTTGCATCCAACTTGGAAGATATAAGATACCATCAACAAGCGGGTTCCAGAATGATTTTCTATTGTTTCTTATTTTCGTTTCAAAACGAGTTCATCAGAAAATATGGTGGTGTCATCCAAAGTGCAGCTGGTCCATGATGATGATTCCTGATACATCTCAGACTGAGCAGATAACCTATTTAAATCTTTTTCTCCTTTATAAATGAGAAATTAATTGCTTGTAAACCAAAAAACTGTTATTGTGTATTGAAGCATTCAGGATGAAAAAAGAGTCAATACAACCAAGGCTAGATTTGGGTATTCAAAACCATCAGGAATTTTACTGCAAAGACTTTCTATGAAAAGATGGAGCTCTAGTACCAATGCAATTTAACCACTTGCCAAGAGGCCAAGAGAAATGTTGGCAGTTCTTGAGCATGCCATGGAAAACCTGGACCTGACCAGTGAGCAGCTCAGCTAAGCAAGAGCCTTAAAAAAAAGAATTTACCATCTTTTGAACTTGTATTGCTAATTACTATTTGGTACAAAACTTTTATTGCTGTTAATGACGATGTCTTTTACAATCTAAATCTCCGGAATTTCAACACGATTTCTGTGTCATTTGCTGAGGTTAAATTATCGTTTAGTAAAATAAAGATTGTAAAAAAATATCTCCATTCAACCATGGGAAAAAAACACATTACCGATCTTTTGATTATTTCGATTTAAGTAGATTCGTCTTAAAAGGTAAGCTACAACAAGGTCATCAATATTTAAGCAAGCAGAAAAGCTAAAAAATTAATTTTAAACGCCTTACTCGAATATTTTGTTGATTGAAATTATTGGTTTTAAAACTAATATTTTGATT